ATATGGTAACATGAGTGCACGTGCACAGCGTAATTGCAACTTCAGTAATGTTAGTCAGGCATAGCTGAAAAGGTTAATGTAATAAATATATATAAATGTACAATGTTATGAGATTTATGCTATTTAGACTAAACAGTTGTATTTTCATGTTATAAGTTGTAGTCATTCTAGAACAAAAAAAGCATAATTTATATTTATTCCTTAATTTTTAAGGTTATTACGAGGTCAGTCAGATCAACCAAACCCATACAGACATCTGAGAGTGAAAATAACAGATAAAATACATAGTTTTTTCTTAAAAAACGTTTGATAATTATCTAGAGGTCATAAAGATTTTGCATATGAAATTTGAAAACTTTCTGATGCATAAAAGTATTTTTAATCTTAAAATCAAAATTACTTGGAATGTTGGATAGTCAACATTTGAAAAGAAAAAAGGCACAAGAAAAACATTACTTAAGAAATTTTATAAATTAATAAAAAATCTGATATTTTGCATATAAAAGCCTTGTTATGTTTACTGGCAACACAGGCCTGCAATGGTTATATACTAAGTCTGATAATAATATCCATTTTTCTCTATCCCATATGATTCACTTTATTGAAACCACAATAAAATATTTATGTCGCAATTGGTGTAGAGAAATCTATAGCCAGTGGTTGTCAACATTTTAAGCATAACAAAATGTGACCTTTGTTCTAGAACCCACAAGAAACACATGGGCTCGGTCAAGTTGACCGACCACGTAACCTCTTTGTACTCATTTAAAGTCTTTTTATAGATTTAATACTTCTAACTTTCAATATAATGTGTATATCTTCACAAAATTTGGCAGTCTTTCAGTTAATATTATAAGCCTTTCACATACAAGAAATCATATCAAGGTTTCATCAAGACATCAGGGAAATGGAGAGGAGGTATCAGGGAAGTTGGAACATCAGCATGATGGCTGATTACTGCTGGTCATTGAAACGAGATGCTCCAGACACAATACATAAAAGAAAGACCACAACACACAGTTTTGAGACTAAAAGATTGTCATGATATAAAAAGACTGTTTGGTTCAAATATTAGTGATTAATCTATATTTGTGAATGAATATTTTATTATTTTCAAGTTTTGTTATAATAAGAGTTAAAAGCAGATGTTTGTAGAAAGTTTTGTTAATAAATAACTGGTGTCGAGAATACAGAAAGTGGCCAGAAGACTATATAATAAAGATATAAATAGCGTGAGATGAGAGGAAAGCAGCAGACAGACAACAATAGACAGATAATAGCAAAAGAGAATATAGTTGTGTGAAGTTAAATACCGCGAAGGTGATAGGCCTAACATTTAATATGCTACAGTGAAACTAACAGTATTAAAAAAAGATAAGGAGTATAATTTTATTCCATCAAAATGTGGTTATAAAGTAATTGAATCAGCCTGGGTACATTTTGACAAAAGGAACAAAGGATCTTCAAAAGAAAGAAGACCAAACGAATTATGGTAACTTGTGCCATAACTGTAAGTCAATCACACACAGAATACTAGTATGATAGTAATATACAGAAGATATTTCGACTTGTCAACTAAAATTCTAAAGTTACTGAATAGACCAAAGTGGACTTTTGACAAGAACAAGAGAACTATATAAATAGATTATGATATGCCTGTAATCTCTATAGTGTGAAGACTTTGTTGTATATACGTTAAACTTGTTCTGAATATATATAATTTGAAAACAAGTAAAGTGTGTGCTGTTTATTCATCATTGAATTTATTGCTAACAAGTCACAGACACCTACTGTAGAAGAATCCTAAGCCCAACAACAACATAGAATATATTTATACTATTAAGAAGTATAACTAAAAGCCATTTATTTCGACAACTGATAAAAAGAAGAACTTTTATTCTTAAAATCTGACAAAGATGTATATTTCACACAAAAAATCAGGATGAATGAGGACACATTTTCATTTGACATCAATGTTCTTCTCTTTTCTTCAGTTTGTTTGTATTTTTGTTAACAAACATAATAAATGTTCATTGTGGTAAACAAAATAATAATTTGATCTAAGTAAGAGTTTTTTCTTCCTGATTTGTAAGTACTTAAGAGATAGGAAAAATTAATATTCTTTTTGAAATCTGCATAGCTGAATTACGAAAAATCCGTTATTAAAATCAAAACAACTTTTATGAAGTTTAAATTCACAGGCCTGTGTAATCTACAAAAGTTTGTGAAGATATGCTTACTAATTTAAAAGTTATAGCATGAAAACTATAACAAGCACAAAATAGTTACGAGGTCAGTCCCTGAGACTGAGCCCATGCTGAAAGAGTTAAATATCTATGCCATCATTAAAATAAAAAAAGCCAACTAATATTTTGCAACTTTGGAAAATTATACAATAAAAATAAAAGAAAATAATACAAAAAAATGTAATACACAAGTTTGTTATTGGTTGCACACAGTAAAAACAGTTGTGTGAATTTTAAATAACATAGTTCTTTCTAATATTTAATTAAGACTGTAATACTAATTTCTCTGTAATAGTCCATCATAACAGAGAAGACCATACAGTAAACTGAAATGATACTAATATAATGGGACATCAGCAACACACAAGAAAAGGAATGATAAAAAAGCTTTCTATATCTATATATCTAATAGCATACACAGGTAATGGAGAAAAAGAAAACAAAAGAAGCCTTCTGTATCTGTCTAGCTAATAACACACTCAGATAATGTAGTAAAAAAGTTGGCAAAACCTGGACACTTCTCTTCAACTATTCAAATAGATACTAAAAAATAAATGGGAACCCCAGTGTAGCATTTGAATTATCACTTGCCTCCGAGTTATACTGGTTTTGGGGAATTCTGCCCCTCATCAATAATCCTGTACAAATGCAAGTTGAAAGAATTAATAAGACTAAAACAGTAATGGAGTGTATATCATGCATTTGGTGTCTTTTACTCACACGGTGATCCTACATTTATATTCACTAGGTAAGTAAAAGATATCTCAAAACACCATATATATTCAAATATATAGTTGGATCACATCTTAATGGGGTGATAGTCTACACTAGTTTTGCCTTCTGACACAAAGACCCAGAGTCAAGTCCCAGCCACTACAGAGAAACATTCTTTCTCAGGATTTTTCTGGAGACAGCAGCAGATGATGGCCAAGACAGCATGAAAAGTAATTAGTATCTGTTAAAAAATTATTAGATAATTAATAATTAGGTGATCATATAAGCTACTCATCATGACAATGGTTAATATATGATCACCACAAACTTACTATAAAACTGAAATTTATTATGTAAGTCTGTAAACAAAAAAATGTGAAAGTCATGTGAAAATTATGAAGCAGACAAAAAAATAAAATACAAACAAACACCAATCTTTAAGAAAATACTGTATTGTTGTTTCAGTATGTGTTATTTTGTCTCATGGATTATCATTGCTTGAAGATTTGCTCCATCACTTAAATTCTATAAACTCCAGCACAGCATTCACCATGCAGTTAAAAGAAAATGAGACCTATTTTTGGATATACTCATTCACAGACATGATGACCATCTCACCACTACTGTTTATACTAACATACTAAAAAGATGTCTGTCTGTTTAGTTTGGAAATGATTGTTACAAAACATGTAGATACAAGCGTTCTCAGTATTTACAGTATCTGTCTGTTTAATTTGGAAATGTATGTTTCATGATGTAGGAGTGGTTTTTGTTGCTCAAAGAAAATACTGAAAGCAGCAAGATACCCACCTTGATTACCTTTTGCAACAAAACTAAATTT